CTCTCTCTCTCTCTCTCTCTCTCTCTCTCGCTCTCTCTAGTCTCTTCCTCCCTCTACCTTTCTCGCGCTCCCTCTATCTGTCTGTCTCTCTCTTTTTTTTCATCTATCTATTTATCTATCTATCTATCTATCTATTTATTTATCTATCTATCTATCTATCTATCTATATATCTATCTATCTATCTATCTATCTATCTATCTATCTATCTATCTATCTATCTATCTATCTATCTATCTATCTATCTATCTATCTATCTATCTATCTATCTATCTATCTATCTATCTATCTATCTATCTATCTATCTATCTATCTATCTATCTATCTATCTATCTATCCATCCATCTATCTATCTAACTACATATATATATATGTATATATATACATTTATTTATATATTTATTTATTTATATCTTTCTTTTACGTGCGCAGGCGCTCTTTCTGACGTTCTTTCTACCCCTGGGTGAGATGCAATACTGCGTAACTAGACACGCTTTGTGTATATTTTGCGCTGCCACTACGCTGTTCTGGAGCAGGCACTACAGACAGCCAGGATGTACTTCCCAAACATGATGATTTACTACGGATACAGTTTCTGTCGACCCAGTTCCAACCTCCCCCCCCCCACTTGCGTTGCGTCGTGTGCCTGGCCGCAGACTCGTGTCGCTGTGCTGAGTAACCACTCATTCCAACTGCGTGTTTCCCAACTGTCCCCTATGTTACCTATTATTGTCTACGCATCATTATGCGCGTGAACGGTATAGCACTATGTAACAAAGAGGTAAGGCACATTGGCCCACATTGGAGATTCGTTAATAATTGTGTGCGGTCGCGCTGACGCCGATTGTGTGGACAGTTCACCCAAGGCCGCACGAGCCATATAAATTATGATTCGACTATTGAGGTATGGATTGGGGGAGCTGTCACCAGCACAAATATGTATGAATAGCAGCGGTACACCGTGTAGTGGGTCGCTATACGTGGCATGTCAATACAAGCTGTTGACAATCTGGTCAAATGAAAACAGAACGACACTCGTGAGGTGTCACTGCGCAGTCGGCATGTGTATATAGTTTTGTTATAGCGAATGGAGTGGCTGCATCAACATACAAGGTAACCACTTAGTATATGCAGCCCATATATTACTACTCGATAAACGACAACAACTGTGGCTATTGCATATTATAATATGACCCATATACACAGCAATATTGACATTGTATGGTGTGTAAGCGTGTGGGTGACATACTAGGTGACAAAACCGTTATGCTGTTATGTGTGCAGCGGTTGGTGGCAGCGCACGCGATCATGCTTGCGTGCGCAGAGCAATTCTCTCATGTACACACTACACAGCTAGCTGTCGAGACACGATATACCCTACTTCAGTGGCGATCTGTTTCGTAAGTCGATTAATTTCTGGTAATTGGATAGACAAGTGTAAAATGTAAGGCATATGAAGTTAAAATGACGCAATATGATGGCGCTATGGTGTATGAAAAGGTAGCATGTAAAATTAAAAGTACTGTGTAATAGGAGGGAAGTCAGAGGAATGTAGCAGAGAAGGAAGTGGAATACGAGGGAGATAAAGATGAGCAGGGATCCTTCTTCTCTTCACCTCTTCTCACCTTTCCTGCGTCTCTCGCATAGTAGTTCGATCCACGATCTACCCTTATTACATCCTCCTAACTACAATATATGTAGTTATATTGATTGTTGATTATCCCTTTTCAACATGTGTACTGTCCACCCATTCACCAATCATGTGATTTCCCTTTTGTACGACTAAACGTAAAACGTCTAACTCTAAGAATAACTCTTCGAAAGAATTATTTTCCTTGGGATTTTTTTTATCTGCGACTATTTTATGGATCCCGAGTAACCGTCATCTTTATCATCATTATCATCAATTTCTAGCCTATGATAACAACGAGTTCTCATAACAAAACCAAATAGTTTTTCTTGTTTTATTAAGGTCGTCAAATGTGTACGATTGCACTAAAATGTATATATTGCATATAGTCCTCTAACAATTGCGCTGAATCTAATCAGCGCTTACAACGCATAATAAATTTATTGTCCCAGCCGTGCGTGGTCCCTGGGAGCATTATGCGAATCACAGCAATATCGTTATATAAAGATATAGATCTTATACTATATTACGGTCATTACAACGCTGAGTGTAGATAGACACGAGACGAGGGTCTACTTATTGAGCATCGCTGTCAAATGGCACTTAGTGAACCCCTGATGTGGCAGTTGATATAATCACATTTCGTGCATAGTGAAAACGATATAGCAGTAATCATAATAACAATAATAATGATAATAACAATCAACAGCAGCAGCAGTAGCAGCGGAAGCAGCAATATAGCAACAGTAGCAGCGGAAGCAGCCGTATTGCAGCAGAAGCCGCGGAAGCAGCAGTATAGCAGCAACAGCGTTAAAATTATCGGCATCATCATCGTCATCATTATCAACACCATGATCAACATCGCTATCATGATAATTACACTGTTATCGATATTTTACCGGTACCATTATGATCATCTTCCACAAACACGCTATTTCATAATCACTTCACCTCAACTGCAGCTTTTCTGAACATACATTCTAGCAAGAGCTAATAATACCTATTAGCTACTAGCTATTACTTATTAGGTATTATTAGCTCTTGATTAATTCTAAGTATACAAAAGCTAAAGTACATACTCTATGCGACAATATACTTTTATGTACAGATGTAAAAACTAAAAATATATACTTCACACTTGCCAGTTTAAAAATGCCTGAGAATCCGTAAACTCGAAGAAACTTGAGTAATCACGAATCAATGCGTAACGAATGTGCCTAAATAAAGGCAATTTATAAATATATATATATCATATACTGAAATTTGCGATTATTGTGTCTTTGTGTGGTTAGAGAATTCGATATACAGAATAATTCATAGATCTCAATTTTTCAGTATTTCAATATAATCAATATTTAAGAATCACATATATTTTAGGCCCTGTTGACCAAGGTATGTATACTAGCAAGGTAGACTGGGACGGGTGTTACGAGATGGCGTGCAGCAACCTCGAGGAGTCCCGGCTTTATTGAGTGGTCACCCTTTCACGCTTTGCATAGCATGAAAATTGCAGGCACTTCGAATTTTCTCTGTCCTTAAGACAATAAGATGTGTAAAGACTGCCTACTCAACCTGATTTCAGTGTTTACGAATTTCATTGTCCGACGCATATACGCGACAATATTGCTTATTTCTTCAGTTTCATTCGATAACCACGATTTCTCCCACTAAAGCGCGAGATTACATGTTAAGGCCCGATTGCACTGCAACGCCGTGGGCATTCCTTCGCTCGCACGATGTAAGTAAATACTACTAATGCGATCGGATCGAGATCACGATATGATTAAACGGATTCCTATCACGGCTATTAGAGGTAAATCGGGACAGTTGTATCTCAATAGTAAAACTCAGCAACTAGACTCTATGGTGATCAGTCACTCTATTGAAACTACACTGTTGCGACACGACGTAGCCACACGCTTCCGATCTGAAGCAAATTTCAACCAGCATATATGTCAATAAAACAAACAAAAGTGAAATGAAAAAACACGTTTCCGTCTGGCGTCTATCAGTCGTGGGATGGTTATTTATTTCTACGGGTTAGTTTTGCCGGTAAAGACCGAGTGCATTACTCGCCACGGAACCAACGTTGCTTGTCGGCGACTACTTGGACAGGCGCATCTCGAACCAGTGTGTGTGTGTGTGCGTGCGTGCGTGCGTGCGTGCGTGCGTGCGTGCGTGTGTGTGTGTGTGTGTGTGTGTGTAGTGTGTGTGGTGGGTGTGGTGCGTGGGCTGCGTGTGGCGTCGTGGGAGAGGAAGAGGAGAGAGAGAGTGTGTGTGTTGTGTATGTGTGTGTGTGTGTGTGTGTGTGTGTGTGTGTGTGTGTGTTTGTGTGTGTGTTCGTGCGCGTGTGCGTACGCGCGTGTGTGTGTACGTGTGCGTACATGCGTGTGTTTGTTTGTTGGTTGGTTGGCTGGTCGGTTGGTTGGTTTGTTTCTTTGTTTGCGTGCGCGCTTGTGTGTGGGTTGGGTTGAAATGGGGGAGGGGGTCCGTAAATCCATAGAACTTCAACCAATACCTACAGAATGTTGGGCGTGGGCTCACCCCGACCAGTAAATCTATATAGCATGCAGTCTAGCTGCCATCGCTCTGTTTTCTACTCGGCCATACAATTCTCGTGGGCGCCGCGTCGTCGAGTGGCCTCCGTGTCATGTTTAGCGCGGCGTAGAGCCGGTTTTAACTGGTTTATGGTCGTGTCTGGAATTTGTTTGCATGTGTATTTTTGGAATCGCCAAAGAGGCCAACGAGCCGCTTGGAAACAGCTACTCAAGTGTATACACGCAGTGCTTGAGAAGGATGTACAGAATGGCGCTGTTATCTGTGTTAAAGCGCGTACGTGAAGCAAAGCGTTACCGTACGTCAGTAATGATAATTCTGGAATAGCCCCAGAAACGACTCGAGATTTTTTTACATAGGCTATTTATACTGCTACAAACAATACGATAATGCAGTTTGTACAACATTTGTACGATTCCAATCATAATGGCTCAACTCTGTGCAATATGAATCCTGAGCACATAGTTGAGGAGATTATTCCACTCAGTCTGGCATCAGCCTGCGTTTCACTATAACAACGCAGTTTTATCACTCATTACTCGCTATAAAATCTGTGTGCGTCTTAAAACTCAATCATTCGACTTGGTCTGCACTTACACGACTTAATGTACTGATACGATGGTCGCTCGTGCGGCAAGGTGACCTTCAACATCAGCATCAGCGTCAACAATGGATGATCAGTGAGGATTACAAGCACGCGCAAAAAAACCGGCTCTACTTTTTACTGGGTCGCGAGAAAGCAGCCATGCGTTATGCACGAGGATGCCACGCTGGCGACGCGTACACGTGGGCATCACGTGCTGTTATTATTGACACGTAAGGACTTTCTCTAGTCGGTCCGAAAGCATCGAGATATGTGTGCGGCCCGCGCGTATAGTCATCGTCATTTCGTCCTTGAGGCTCGCCATACTCTTTGTAGGCATTTCGTCGCATCTGCGAGTTGTCGGGCAGCATAATTTGCTGCTCGTTTCTTTTATTCCGCTTATGCGTAATGTCAATATACGAGGCAAAACCGTGACGTGCCTTCGGTGTCGCCCAGAGGCTAGGTTATCCAAAGCGTGTTTGGTAAAACGTTGTCACGGTCACGCGGGTGGTACAAGCGACTTTGGCCGGCTCCTAAAACACATAAATGTTAATTATAAGACGCGAGTATAATAACTCTAATATTGTTTTTAGTGTCGAACAGTGTAAATATATCAATGCATATATGTTTTTCCTTTCATTATTATTATTATTATTATTATTATTATTATTATTATTTCCAAAGTGGATCACGGCATTAGACGGTGGCTCCTGGGTTGACCGTGTCCCAACCTGGGACATAGGGATTCAATCCAGAATTTTTCGCAGGATGTGTGCTGTTCCCAGTAGTGCGATTTTCTGCACTTCTTGGGCAGTGTAGTGGCCATGCAGGGAGTTCCTTAAGGTTCTTCTCAAAACCATTCTTTATAGAGCCAAGGGCTCCAACCACCACTGGTACAATTCTCGTCTTAGTATTCCACATCCTCCTAATTTCGATCTCCAGATCTTTGTACTTGGTGAATTTGTCTCTTTCCTATTATTTATTATTATTATTATTATTATTATTATTATTATTATTAGCAATTCAATTGACATCTGACATTTCGGGGTCAAAATTGTTGTCAGTATGGATGCAGATATATATAACGGTCTATAAAATTACTATGCCGTGCATACGTGCGTCCGTATATGCTAGATAGAAAGAACGCGATAAAAAGGGAAAGGTGAACGCCAAAAAAAGCGAGCAAGAGAGAGAGAGAGAGAGAGAGAGAGAGAGAGAGAGAGAGAGAGAGAGAGAGA